TCGGCACCCGCCGGTGCTGCCGCGACACGCTCGCTTCACTCGCTCGGCTCGTGCTGCTTTTTCATATTCTAACATTACCTACTGAATGTAGGGCACAACCAAGCAACGAAGATTTATTAGGAGATCAATATCAAAAGATATTTAGCGTCTGGAAACGGCGTCCAGGTGGGAATCTGGCCACTGACTACACGCTTTCCCCTCTGCTAGTACCGGTAACTTCCTGAACGCCGAGACCATTTGCATAGCTGCAGGCCTTCCCAGTTTACTCCCCTCATCGGTGTCTTTGTGGCAAAATTGTAAATGCTCTGGGTCACCACGGTCTTTCCTGCCAGCTGAGCGCTGGGCGTATCTCCCGGTTTACAGCCCTCAACGACGTCATCCGCCGGGCCTTAGCCACTGTTAACGTGCCCGCTATAATCAAGCTCGAATCAAGCGGCATGTCGCGACAGATGGCAAACGCGCGGACGGAATAACTCTCATCCCTTGGAGTATGAGCCGAGCACTGGTGTGAGACGTCACATGTGCCGACACACGTGCCCCATCCCATCTCCAGCACACCAGCAAGCTGGCGGAAATACTAAAAAGTAATAATTACCAGGATCTCGGGTCGGACTACCTATTTATAGCCTTTGGAGTCGAAACACTTGGCCCGTGGGGTCCCAGTGCCCTTCATCTGGACAAAATTTTATCGAAAAAATTAATAGACTGTCTGGGAAACCTACCTTGCCCAACGCATTAGTATAGCAATACAAAGGGGGAACGCTGCCAGCGTCCTGGGCACCTTGCAGAGGGGATCCAATTTTATTCATATAATTTATAATTTTTAGTTTTTTATTGTCTTTTTTACCTTACTTGTATAATTATCTTAATTAAATAACATAATTACTAAAGATATACTGGTTATAAACATCATCATCGTTAAAAGAAAAAACCAATGTGCTTGTGTAATAAACAGCTTTTTTTCTTTCTTTCTTTCAATGATAAAAAGGGAGGATCAAATATTATTTTTGTATACCAAATATTAATTTAGTATGCTTAAACTTGTTAATAGTATTACCTTGAATACATTGAGTTCATTTACAATTTATCCGTAGATCAACTAATATAGATGGAACAATTAATATATATATGAAATTTAAAAAAAATATCGTTTATTTATAAAGTGCACATTTGCAATAGATAAAAAAAATTAAATTTAAAACTGTTTATTACAAATATTAATAACAAGTTACAGCACATTCAAGGTAGAATCTTAAAATTAAAGATTATTTATCCTTTTCCAGTGAGTTGCGTTAATATGTAAGGTACAACAATTAAATCAATGACCAGTTTGCGTATGCCTCCTCTGATATTGATCTTTCATATAAAATCTTTTTAATTTGTTTTTGACTTGTATAGGATTTTTATCTGTTATTTCATTTATAAGATTTTTTGGTAAACTATTTAATATCACAGGAAGTTCACACATCCAAACTCTTTTACCATAATTATTGTTATATTAACATTGACTTACAATTATATGGACGTCGGGTCCGCGCTAAAAAGTGTCCGAACTTATAGGGCGTTAAATCGTATACAGAGCGTCATTCGCGCTTTAGTCTTCGTTTGTTCGACTGACAGCGAAGCAAGCAAAATTAGACAGTACTGCGATGACATTACAATTTAAATTCAACGTTTTAGCTTTTTCATATTCCTTTACATGTCACTACGTTTAAATAGGTTGACTTGGGACATTTTTTTCGTGGTTTTTGTATTAGACCCGTCGTCCATTTATTTGTATTTAGGTAGATGTGATAGTGTACGTAATGAATTCGGTCTAATTTTCATCAAATTCAAATTCAAATTCAAATTCAAAATAATCTTTATTTCATAGGTAAGCATTATTACACTTGAAATCGTCACAATGGTTAAACTCTACCGCTCATTCGTAAGGCAGATTCCCCTGAGAAGAATGAGCAAGAATCTCTAGGGGTTGCTCTTTGTAAATAACATTTACAATATTTTTTTATTATTATTTGAAACATCAGAGATCGAGACTACCTCCATGAGCTAAACGGGTTACTACCACGGATTTTTGTCATCCAAGTACGCAGAAGTTGTATAATAACCTTTAGTATAAAGTTTTTGTTTCACTATAGTTTTAAACCTCGTGTAAGGCAAATTTTGTATATCAATGATCAATTATTTCTTTGAGGATTAATTAATATTATGCCTTTTAAAATTAATCTTTTATAGGCCATGGGAGACAAGCGAATCTAACATTGGTTTCTTTAAAAAAAAAAAACAAATCAACTTAGTTACAGGCAAGGAAGCTTATCTCATCGTTCAAGTTTAATTCTTATTATGTAGTAAGTATAATTATTGATTCTTAATAAGTAATAAATTAACTCACAACTCAATCGAGATACGCCATTGTGTTTATTATTGTTGATTTATTAATCAAAAACATTGAGATGGCGGTCGCGCTGCTTCAGGTCAAAAACCCGATATAGGTATCTTTTTTTTACGATACGAAATGACGGGATGAACTATTCGTGCGCCTGATTGTAGCGACACGTCTATCCATAACAGTTGCAGTGCCACTCAGAGCTTTAAAACATCTGAGGGGCACTGCCATTGCGTGCGTCACCTTGGGATATAGGTTGACAAGTCTGAAATTTCACCAGCACTCCTAACCTTCAAAACCGTAACACAGTACTCACATTGCAGCTTGGCGACAGAAATAGGTAAGGTGGCAGACTTCCCTGGACGAAGTCTTCCACAAGGAGCTCTACTGCTACTAAACTGTTATGAACAGACGTGTCACTTAACATCAGGCGCATGACTTGTTCGCCCCGCCATTTGGTTACTATAAGTGAAAACCCGATGTTGATTATGTTTTTCGGTTCCGACATTCACGATATCCTTAATAATGTGGGGTGGTAACATTGACTTACAATTATATGGACGTCGGGTCCGCGCTAAAAAGTGTCCGAACTTATAGGGCGTTAAAATCGTATACAGAGCGTCATTCACGCTTTAGTCTCCGTTTGTTCGACTGACAGCGAAGCAAGCAAAATTAGACAGTACTGCGATGACATTACAATTTAAATTCAACGTTTTAGCTTTTTCATATTCCTTTACATGTCACTACGTTTAAATAGGTTGACTTGGGACTTTTTTTCGTGGTTTTTGTATTAGACCCGTCGTCCATTTATTTGTAAGTCAATGGGTGGTAACGTCCACAACAAATGCTATCGGCTGAGTCTGACTGCAGTGCCCCTTTAAGATTTACATTGCAAAGATATGAGGGGCGCTGCCGCTGCGCCCATTACCCTGAGACATAAGTTGACAAAGACTGTAATTTCAACTATGTGCCAACTATAACCCCTCAAAACCATGACTACGAAACAGATGAATTACGGTATGGTGAACGGGCCATTGTACGCTACACACTACACCTAGGCGCCTATTTCAAGTGTGGAATGCAAAGATAAATAAAACTTATTTTTTACCGAAGATCCGTAAACATCAGTAGAACCTACTAATTATTATGTTAACAGTAATATTACAAAAATATTTTTTCATTTCCTTATAAGCCTTCCAGTGCGTGTGGGCGTTTGTGGTTGGATTAACACTTTACATAAATGTTATCCAATTGTAAATACAGTATTGACTTCTGAGTCTAAAGTCCAAGTTAATATAGAGATAAATTAAATAATTTTCAAGTTTTTAGGTTTTCGCGATTGTTACACATACAAATGAAACTATTTTTCCGGATTTAAATCGTGTATATTTGTTTTTTCAAACAAACCGACGTTTCGGGCCCTTTACAGGTCCCATGGTCACGGTTGACTAAGGTGGTACAGTCTTCAACCAGTTGTGTCTAATATTGATGCAAACCACCCTATTTTTTCCACTATAGTTACAATACTTATTAATTAAATACCTTATTTTTAAATTTTACAAAGAAAACATTCCAATTTTCGCTATATTAAGTTTTACAAATTATTTTATTGAATGAATTTTTATTAAAATTTATTATTAATTATTAATAGAAATTAGAATAAACTAAAACATATTAATTAGTACTGCAGTCTTATATCTGTTTGGGATTTTTCATTAGAGGAAATACTGGATCCCAAACTGGTGGTACGGAGAAACCATCTTCCCTGTTGAAATTAGGATGTTTTTTAATTTCAATGGCCTCTCGCAACATCCTGGGTAGATAACGACGGGACCTGTAAAGGGCCCGAAATGTCGGTTTGTTTGAAAAAACAAATATACGCGATTTAAATCCGGAAAAATAGTTTCATTTCCTATAAATAATTTTCGTTAAAATGCAACATTTCGTAGAAGTAGAGCTCTACTTTCAATGAAAGTAAAATGTTACCGTGATCATTACGGCTACTACGACAGGATGCGATTCACGCAAGACCGATATTACAGATGCGCGATTGCTAAGCCTGTCATTCGGATGAGAAATTACTCGTAGTAACCAACTAATTTTATTTACTTATTTATTCACAGCAATACAAGTTCTATTAGGCAAGTACTTATTGCTAGGTTATTATACAATTTCTGCGTACTTGGATGACAGAAATCCGAAAATCCGAGAAAAATGTATATTTACAAAGAGCAACCCCTAGAGTTTCTTGTTCATTCTTCGAATAGGAATCTGCCTCACGAATGAACTTATGAATAAGAGTTTAATCAGTATGACGATTTCAAGTATAATTTTCTTACCTATGAAATAAAGATTATTTGACCTTGACTTTGACTTTGACACCCCGTATTTTATACGTTACAAAATATAATAATAAAAAATGCAGTTTATGTTAAAATAACACGTAAATTATCCATCATCAGTTTTTGTGAAATACGTAAAATAACAAAACAACTTAATTTCATTAAATAACTACGTAAGTTTGTCAATTTAAATTCGCGTATGTAGCATTCGTAAAAGGATTCGCATCTTTGTGTAAACGAACCTCCGAACATCGGGCTGTAGATGGATCAAGATGATCGAGATGGAGTTCCTCAGGGTTCTGTACTGTCCGCAACCCTTTCTGCTACATATAAATGATATGTTGATTCCAGGTGCCTTCGAGTATGCTGATAACTGCACAGTTGCAGGCAGGTACTTGACCAATGCAAGTGAAAAAATCCAGTCTTGTCCAGAGCCCACTGTTAGTCGTTTGGATCTGACACTTAAGGCAGTCTCCGATTGGGGCGATGCCAATCGCTTGCTTATTCGTATTCTACAGGATATATCACGGATAGTCTGCAATGGAATTGCATAATTTGATTCCGCCTTCTCCTTTCCATCATCGGGGGACTAGACGCTTCCACATTTATATGGCGAGCGGCTAGGGAGTGGAATGCCCTGACTACAGACTTGTTCCCCGAACGCTATAATTTGGATCTTTTCAAGGCGAGAGTGGCTATCCACTTATAATGCCTATGCATTATTTGGGTGTGCATGCTATATACCGCTTTCCATCAGGTGCGATGGAGGTCAAATGCGCACTTATTTTTTATATATAAAAAAAGTTTGCACCAAACCAAATTTCTCAGAAGAGGGATTTAACGTTATTACTTTGTTATTTCAATGGCTACGACTTTCTTTTTTCCACAGCAAGCATTATTTTGTGCTGTCTACGGACTGATAACAATAGATTCCCGTGAATCACGCCAATTTGGTTGCCACGACATTTACGCGGATTTGATTAGGCCACTAAATTACGGAAATGGAACCTCATTGTCAAATGTTAGTAAAACTTTTGATTTTTTTAATTCTGTATTTTGTCTCACTTCTTAGGTGTTTTTTTTTCTATCGTGAATATTTTTAGAAATCTTGCTATCACACCCATTGACTTACAAATAAATGGACGACAGGTCTAATACAAAAACCACGAAAAAAGTCCCAAGTCAACCTATTTAAACGTAGTGACATGTAAAGGAATATGAAAAAGCTAAAACGTTGAATTTAAATTGTAATGTCATCGCAGTACTGTCTAATTTTGCTTGCTTCGCTGTCAGAAGAAACAAACGAAGACTAAAGCGTGAATGACGCTCTGTCTACGATTTTAACGCCCTATAAGTTCGGACACTTTTTAGCGCGGACCCGACGTCCATATAATTGTAAGTCAATGATCACACCGTATACTTATCAGTGTGTATATTCAATTTTACTATATTTTTATTCCAAAGTGATTGGTTCAACACTTTCACTGTTACGTGGAACCAACCAATGTCATTTGAGGTTGTTACGATTCTTAACCTGCCTTACTCTTAATTCACTGAACCCACCACCACATCGAGGCACAAAAATTCCTACACCAGACCTCTCTTAAAATAGATGTTATAATAAATGTTGGATGTGTGGCGCATTTAGTATAAAATACTTATTGTTCCTATAAAAAATAATATGACGTTCATTTGTTTAGAATGTTAATCCTACGTAAATTACAATTATGGAACAGTCCGTAAAAATCATTAGACTATATTATTATAACAACTTTTTTTTATCATACCATCAAGTGACGGGACGACCAAGTCGTGCGCCTGATGGTAAGCGACACGCTAGTTGCTGTGACACTCAGAGCTTTCAATTGCAGAACTCTGAAGGGCACTGCCACCGCGCCCTTCACCCTGAGACATAAGTTGACATATTCCTTGTGCCTGTTTTGTTGTGCCATTTCACCAGCACCCTTACGTTTCAAAACCGGAACGTAGCAATGGTCACATAACTGCTCATCGGCAGAAATAGGTAAGATGGCAGTGCTTCCCTGGACGGACTGTTTCTCAAGGAGCTATACTGCTAAACTGTAATATATATATAATTCCGGATGCAACGCGACATTAAACTGACATTATAGAATTAACCAACTTTTAGAATGCCACGTTGGAAGCATTTATAACATATCTACCTTATATTCTTACTTATAAAGTGTTTGTGTTCCATAGTCACGTAACGGCTTAACGTTATTTTCTTAAAAAACCGTATAATAAACACCAAGTCGATGAGCTGTGGAGACGCGTGCGCAGAACTAAATTCAATCGCATTCCAAAAGAAAAGGAACGGTACACGCTACCAGCCTTCTTATTTCCCGAAAACTATAAATTATTTAAACAAACGCGTGCCGTCCTCGGGCATATTTTTTCCTAGAAAATTAAAATATGTATATACATTGTCAGTATTCAATGTGTAGTGTCATCACACGTCAATTGCCGAGCACATGATGTCTCAGTATCTAGTTATAGGTGTTTTTTACCGTAGTGTATCGTCTTTGACACGCTGGTGTCACCATGGCGTTTTCCTTCATCTTTAGTTAGACGTACAACTACTAAACTTCAATAGTATAAGTTTCTTAAAAAGTAATGTCTCTAGTACATGCCGCAAAAGGGACTGTACCGGTGACCTTCTTATTTAAGAATCACAGCTTATATAACACTATATATCACATCGTACTAACACAAACTAGTAAATAAGGTAATAAACAAAGTCTATACACTTTATTATATGACCAATAAACATACATAAACAACTTACAACAAATTTTAATTACATAATTTATGTAATATGTTTCATTTTCCTAATTTTATTGTATTTAATTATTTTGTAATTTAATGTAATTTTTAATTTTAATTTAATATGGACCATGTAAATAAATTACGTTCACGTTTGGTTTATAACTATATTTTAATAACTACAAATGTGCAACATGACGCAATAAAGAATTTGACATGAACAATAAAATATAATTATCTGTATAATACATTATTTACACACTATATACATACAATATATAACATATAATTCATGACTAACTGTATCCATGTATAAACAATCTATACATACATATCTACAATAACACATAATATATATATAAATGTCAGACTAAAGGTATGCATATTGAGACTCCAATATGAAATTGCGGACTAATCGTTTCCAGACAACCTTGGTGTGGTATGGTCTGGTGTGAGGGGTTGGTGTTCGCAACTTGACGTCAAAGCGTCTATATTGCGTTTGGTGGGTGCAGTCTCCCTACATGCATAGAGGGCTGTCTGTGATACCTAAATTGAAAAGATGTTTATTGTATAGACAATGATCTGTTAGCGGCGGTAGTTAGAGCGCGAAGCTCTTGCCTTTTTAGTTTAATTAATTTTCGAGGTAGACTGGCTACAAACCGTTGGAGCTGGTCATGTGTCGTTATGAGAAGATTTTGTACCTTTATGTAAGTTGTTCTTGACGATTAGTAGGGGAGGGACTGCATTGCACGGCCTCACTCGTCTGGGGGGCGGGTCGGACGACGACCGACTCGCCCCTCCGTTGACGCGGGAGCCCTGGCGTAAGCTAGGGCGGCCGGGCGGCGTCGTGGTGAATGTTCACTGATCCCACGGCGCCGTCTCAACCGGCGAGAGGGAAACCCGGGGGGGTTTTAGTGGGGTAGGCCCTCAAGTCTGGAGGGAGAGTCCCCACATAACCCCTGAGCTCAGGGGTATTCATAAAGATTTCCCCCCGTCAAAAAAAAAAAAAAGGGGAGGGACCTTATGGGTCTCCATAACCTTTAATACAGATGAAAATTTAACAGAATGGGAGACTAATGGTCGTATTCCAGAACTCTACTCAATGCTCAAGTCAGGACTTGAGTATGATTTAAAGCACTAAACTTTAGATATCATACTCAAGTCTGCTCAAATCCTGACTTGAGCATTGAGTACAGCTCTGGAATACGATCCTTAGAGTGCCAACTGTCTGTCTGACTGTGTTCTAAAGTTCGTGGAATTGTATCTATTTGCCAAGTGTTATTGAAATCGGTTACCGCAAAGTGCGAGAAACCGGATTCATCCCTTAGTTTTCCACCCTTAGAGGTGGAATATTTTCTTCAAATTTAAACAGGACCCTCTTTCCAATAAAAAAAATTATCAAAATCGGTTCACACAAAAAATGCAGTCGAAATCTACCTCCTCTTTTTTTGAAGTCGATGATAAATTTCTAAAATAAACATTTACCCCCGGAATTCCACAAAATACATTCACATAGTTAAAGATTATATAACGGGCAACAAAAAGGTGCGACAACACTTGAGCCGATAATCGTAAACGAACAAACTTTAGCAAATAAATTTAACAGTGTCGCGTGAAAAAAAATGTTTGATGTATGATGCATAGACAAAACCCGCGACGAATGTTAAAAATTTCCACTGGTGATGACAAAATAAACTACATCGACTTCTCAGATAGCAGATTCAGTTCTTTACTAAATGAAATACAGAACTGTGCCGTATCTTTTACTAAGTTTAGATTATTGTGCCATCCGTACCCAACCTTTTGGTTATACGGGAACGGCACCTTTACTTGCGCAAGCAAGCTCACACAGGGATGTTTTCATTCAGATCCTGACCCCAGATGAGCTCGTTTACTTAGACTTCACCCAGAGCTCAAAATGCCTTGGGTGAAGCCATATACAATATTTAGTAGCAGTAGAGGTCCTTGTGAAAGAGAGCGGCACTGCAACTGTTGTGGACAGGCGTGTCGCTTACTACCAGATGTACGACTTGTTCGTCCCGCCACTTGGTGTCATAGAAAAAAAAACACTTACAGCACTGTCTCTATTGCACAGATAGGTATCGGAGCTGTTGGTTAGCTCGCCTGTTGCAGTGTATTGCACAATTAGAAGTTGCCACCGCTAAGCCGTTGGCTCTAAAGTCAACTACGAAATTTTCGTGGTGGAGCTGTTGGCACGCACGCCTAAGCGTCTCTCCAATTCCCAAAATTCCTAAGCGGCTACAGGGATAGGAGGATATCTAGATTATCCTCTACTAAATCTTCGGATTAGTACTGGCGATGTCAGTCGCAGTGTCCGGAGAAAAACGGACATACTACCAATTTAAAGGGCAACTCACGTGTCCCGCGCATCTTGTCGCATTTGACCCGTAGGTACCGGAACAGTCGCTTCAATTGTATGGAGTACTGCTGCCACCTATGGGATGGTTCTGAAAAACTTGGACTTAGGAATCGCCGTAAAAGTGCCCGCTTACCGGATTATATATCACGGTATTCTACGGAATATGGAGAAGGATGGAGAGTGCGATGGAATTGCGCGATTTATTTCACCTCCCCCTTTCCATCATCAGGAGACCGAAACTGGGGTTTCAGTGTGTTTTGGGGGTTAACATTCGTA